TCTCTCTCTCTCTCTCTCTCTCAATCTCTCACTCTCTCGTGCAATCTCTCTCTCTCGCGCGCGCAATCTCTCTCTCGCGCGCAAGCTCTCTCTCTCTTTTGCGCACAATGTCTCTCTCTCTCTCTCGCGCAATCTCTCTCTCTCTCTCGCGCGCAATCTCTCTCTCTCTCTCTCTCTCTCTCTCTCTCTCTCTCTCTCTCTCTCTCTCTCTCTCTCTCTCTCTCGTCCGCAGCGTGCGACGCATGGGATACCCGTTTGTCGCGTTGGAGCGGTATGGCTCGCGCGGCAAATGAAGTGCGGCCGAACGTGAGTACCGTTTTCGTACCCGTTCGGACTGTTTCCCCTACGCCACCACCGCAGCAGGCACCCCGCGAACTCCTCTGCAGGATGCAAATGGGCTTGCGAGTTTTTTTTTATTTTTTTTTCCTAAAAAAAAAAAAGAAAAAAAAAAAAGTGCATGGGGCGGTACCCAACAGCGGACACTACCACCCCACACTTTCACAAAACCCTTTCCGCCCCCCCAAACGCGCGGAAATGCGGTTCGCGGACCTCGTTCATTCACGTCCAACGCGCGTTTGAACGGGGATTAAACGCGAATTTAACGCGCGTTCAATTTTTCAACGCGAAACCCGCGTTGAATCGATTTCCGGACACAGTTTCTTAAAGGAGTCCTTGGTGAGGTGGCGGTACAAGTGTCTGAAACGAATGATAAAAAAATGGATTACCTCATCAAGCATGACCATGTGTAAAAAAATGGCGTATAGCAGAGATAGAAGCATAACCGTAACCAATAGTCGTGGGTATGAGCCAGGCTGGGTTTGAAAAAGGTGCATGATTCATCCGCTGCTCCCCTTAATGTCAAAATATTGGCGGAAATGATAGCACAGTTTCATGAGGGCTACCTCTAGCATAGCGTGGACAACTAGCAAAGTGGAAAAAATGGAAAGAGCGTTGAATTGCCGCAACGGTTTATTTAACGGTTGCAACGATTTTACGTCAATTTGTAAATATGTTTCCTGTTCGGAAAAACATAAAATGTTTCCTGTTCGGAAAAACATAAAATGTTTCCTGTGACGACCACGAACAAACCAATAGGCACCCTGGATTCTCATATTTTTTAACTTTTCTTTTTTCCTGTGTAGCACACCGAACATATTCGGAGCTTCCGAACATCCGAATATGCTTGGGTGTTTGGCCGAACGCCCTCACAGAATGTTCAAAGTTAAGGGGGAAGGTATGCGAGGATTTGAGCCCTCAGCAATGCTGGAAAAGGCCTAGCCGCCCTAAGTGAATGCGGGCCTGCCAATATTTGCCAAGGCCTGGCTGGGTGCAGGCCAGTGTGATCACGCTGAAGAGCTGTTGGAATCTATATGTGGGCCTGAATCTTCGCAGTTGCCCGTCTAGGCTCACCCCACATCTCGGCTGAGGCCCCATACAAACTTGTGCCCGCCCTAAGTGAAGGCGGGCCAAAATATTTACGTCAGGCCTCTGTTTGTCAATTCCGCATGGCGGGTATCAGACAGTTGCAGCACACCAGTTGGTTACAAAGTAACGTGAGCCTTTTTCTTGGCTTATTCCGGAAGCAGCAGCTCGAGAGCCAGTTGAGCCCACGCGGCACGTACAGTTGAGGCCCTAGCCACCAGAGGCCGACACACCACAGAATGGCCGCCGGCCAATGTAAATGCAGCATCTTCGTCGCACACTGGCCGGCAGCCAATGAGATCGCAGCGAACACTTGTAGCCTCGTGGGATACCTGGCCGTGCCCAACTGTAGGACCAAGGCCCGCAAGAGCAACTGGGGGCTTGGCTGCAGACACTGGAGCCCAACTTGGAGCTACTGGAAACGCGTCCAGCCAGGCCCAGAGCTCAACAACGCAGAGCTCACTTTCCATAAAGGAAAGTGAGCACAGCAGCCAGAGGGCATTTCTGGCTGTGTGCTTGCTGGCGGCAGCGCTGCTGGTTTGGGCACTGGAGGCCGCTGGTAGGCCGGCCAAGGGCTGGAGGGGGCGCACACGGGCGCATTGTGGTGTTGGGCGCTGCTGGTGCAGCGGGCGCTAAGCAGCCATAGCCGGGCTTGCTCAGTGGAGGCTGGTGATGGTGATAGTGGTCTTTGGGTGTCGGGTGGGCACACTGTGGGAAGTCGAGGGGTGATGCGAGAGGAGAGAGACACGTACCTGGTGTATGCTGGCAGTCTGCATTGGCAACATCGCCACGTACATTCTTCGGCAACGAAGTAATCCCTTTGCATGAACATAGTGTAGGCTAGTATAGGTGCTGAGTAGATAGGCTGGGCGTTGAGCGCGAATAGAGAAGAGTGACATTGAATACTGTGTCGGTGCAGACACAGAGTGTCGACATTGACATTTGAGTTCATTGTTGTGCTCTTATGTGGCTGATAACTCGGTGCATTGTACTTTCTGCTTGGTACACGACTATCTGAGCTGCAGCGTGATTTTGCAATTTGGAATTCTGTCTATTGCTCTCGCTCATGTTCCTTGCAAGTCCATTGTATATTTGATATATTGACTGGAATTGAGTTGAATTGAGTTTAGGGGCTGAGAGTAACAGAATGAAATAAATGAAGTTCGTGTGAGGTGGTGGGCGGTATATTGTTCCTTGCAGGTTAGACAGACTGACTAGAGGCTTGGGTAGGGTTAGGCTAGGAGATCTCCATGTGCTCCACAATTCGGTCAGCGTTGACTTTGACTTCCACTCATGGGTTGCGGGTCATACTCTTCGTATTAACTCCCTTGGTACATCACACAGCACTGGTACCTCCTCTTGCATGTATGGGACATGAAGCCACATGGCAGAGGAAGACCACAAAAGCCACCCATAGATGCAATTCTGAGTGGCATCTCCCTGTGCTCCACAATTCGATCAATTTTGACTTGACTTCCGCCCATATGGGTGGGGCCATAGCGTTCGTAGCAACCCCCTTGATGTACATCACACAGCACTAGACCACCGGTACCGCCTCTGGCACATACGGGACATGGAGCCACAGGGAAAAGGAAGACCGCTGAAGCCACAGACGCAGTTCCCCGTCATAGTCAAAGGCCCTCTGGATCCTAAGGACAATGGCCATCCCACTTCCTGTTTGAGGAAAACAGATTGTGCTTGCACCAATTTTTATTTATTTTTTAATGGCATGCATCTGTCTTTCTCCTAAGCTGTTCGGTAGATTCCCACGCGTTACGCACTCATTCACCCCTTTGTTTTCAAATGAGAAAGCAAAGTGTTAAAGCACCAGTACATGGGCACCTGCGCCGCGGGTGTGACACCTCAAATTCTGGAGGCGCGACCCCCACACACCAGAAAAATGGGTTGCTCCAGATTCTGCAATGAAATTGGTTCTTCTCAAATTCAGATGAACCCGCAATTTTGCATAGAGCTTCTTTTCCCTTAATTTTGTTCTAGAATGAGTTTGTTGCTGAATTGTTGGACTTCTGTTTCTGGAGTTCGATCTCAGGTCTGCATTTCAAAATTGAGATGCGTTTGATGCAATGGAACACGCGGGTTAGCTTCACCTTGTTCTCCATGCGCACCACCCATCAGTGACAAAAGATATATCAGAATCAGTATCCACTTTTTTTTCCTTCTGTTCTTGCAGTTCGAACTCAGGTCCGCATTTCAACATTTCAGGGGTGTGTACCAACTGAACTAGGCAGGCCAGTTAGTACCAGTCACCACTTCAATTTGAGATTGCAGGTAAATATGATGTGTTGCCA